TTAAACTCCCTAATGTGCCTCACGCACTAGTGATACAAGGACGCGTGCCTGCACGATGCTGATCCAGATCGAAACGGGCAGAGGCAAGAACTCGACAGATACCTGAAGATTATAATTATATCTTCTTTCGTTGTTATTTAAAAAAAAAAAAAAAAACCTTAACGAGATGCACTTAGGAATGCGTATGTGTGCGCACTGCGCACGTGTCCGTCAGGTCTGTCTTTTTTCTTCTATCGTGTTTGTGCGCGTATGGACGTTCTGCCGCAGGTTTTCTGTTTGTGGAGCGTTAAAAACTAAAAATTGCCGTTGCTGCTTTAGTCAGCGAAGTGGGGATCAGGAATGGCAACGATGATTAAGCGATTAGTTGTTTTGTGTTAAATTTTATGAGATAGAGCTGATCCGTCATACTTTTCACGCATTGCATAAGCGACACTTAATATGCAGACGAATCTTTAAAGCAAAATGGGTCCTTCCGATCCGTATATAGTTCAAAGAGCAATAAAATGAAGAGACGGGCTTGTTGGTACATCATTAATGTTTCATGCAGCAGCTAGCCTATCAAAGAGATATGTGGACATCATTGAGTGAGCTCTTGCTGAGCTTTCGTGCCCAGTCGCTGAGATGCGTGCTTACCCAAGGGTTACACTTTTGCGTTTCATCTGTTAACCCTAGCGCACGGCACCAACGGCTCATTGTGTTTTCCGAAAGCACAAGATAAAGCCGAATTAGCCGCTGAAATGATATGACGGCGTCCACAGCCATAGTGATCCGCGCGAACACTTGTACAGTTGCCTGGATTGGGAAACTCGATTGGGATACTAATTTAAAACGGGTACGTTAACCCGAAAGGCTGTGGTCAATAATCTGGTGGCATCTTTACAGGTAAGTCTAATATGCAACCGCCTTGAACACAGCCGTAGTTATCTCAATACTACTTTTTATATATTTGGCTGTTAGCGCACGTAAAGAAAGCGAGCATAAGCCATCAGGTTTGTTCATAATGCAATCAAAATAAAAACAGTCTTGAAGCCTTTGTTATTGTGGCGGCGTCTGTAGTAAACGCCCTTGAAATACGTGGAGCTGTCAGAACTCAAAAGACAAGATTGCGCCAAAAAAGAAAAAAAGTGTGCAGGCACTCCGAAATACAGAAGAAGAAAAAAAAGCATTACGTTAGTGGGCATCATGTAACATACGAATCGAAGATACCGGCATGTGTTGTATAGTGATAGCTTCCGCAATATTTTTTGTCGGAGGCTAAAGAGTTTCTGGTGCCTACCACAAGTAAATACTAAAAATTCGTTCGTTGTAAGTAAGCTCAATAAACGACGGCATCATTTTAATAAATACATACACCTGTCACCAGACACGAACCTACCGCTCTGGACTGGGGTTGGTATCGCGAACACATACAACAATTTGAACACCAAGGCTTCGTTCATAACTGATTATAATTTAAAGATTCGTGCCGGTACATTTCCGTCCCAAATTATTAGGGGTGAAATAATCCAGGCTTGTACATGGGAGTTGTAAGAGTTTAGGACATTTCGGTGTCGTTACGTTTCGGTGCAGGGCATGTCGATGGGGTTCAACAACGCACGGGCTTTTCTGTGCACAAACGTTTCGGTGGGCGGATGTTTATTGTATAAACGCTTCAATAAACACGCCTAACATTACTTGTTAATATTCAGGTTTTTATGCAGAGAAGATAATTTTTCTAAGACTAGCACATCCCAGTTATATCGTTCGTTTTTCTTTTAAATAAGAATAGCTCTTTAAGTGCTACAGAAGTTGTGTAATTAACTAAGTAATCAACATCCAGGAAAAACATCATGCATAAGGTTTAATGCAGATTTTCTAAATACATAAACTCTTTAGGCGTATTTATTTAGATTTGAGTAAAACATTTCGTGATAATAAGACACACGAACAACAAGATGATTTCATTTGTGATTTGTGTGTTGAGACTGATGAGTCTCGACTATTATCCTCCTGTTTCCCAATATCGGAGATAGCACAAGTGATGTTACTCAAGCATATATCTGGCATCCCTTTGTTCGAAGAACTCTTTTATAACCTTTCTCTGCCAAAACACCCTCCAGTCTAACCTCGTCTGCCGTCACAATACACGCGCCATGGCCGTCAAGAGTGAATGAGTCAGCTAAATTCGGTAAGTCTGACTTCGAGGGTCGCTGTAATACTAAACCGAGGTCACACATAGCCCAAACCCAAACATCACCTCGCGTGCGTGCTCGAAGAAAAGAAGAAACAAAACAAGCATCTGGGCATCCCAGTCGCTAAGCGGGGTCCGACCAACAATACAACGCGAAAAAATATATATATATTTTCGTGAATATATATATCACGAAAAATACGCTGGAATATTGTCATACCGACTCATTTAGTTTTCCTGGAATTCCTTCAGGAAATCGGAAAGCAGATTCTCATTGAAGTGGACGGGACTTTCACGTGCCCTGTTCCATTAGAACCTAATCATTTGAAGTAGTTCGTTTTGAGCCGGCGCTGTCAAAATTGGACATGCGCAGAATGCAGGCCTTGTTAAGATTCCTGGTTTCGCTATTCACGTCGATCTAAAGTACCATTTGGAATATGTGGGAAGTTCGCAAGATCGAAACAAGACCGTGCTTCGTTGTGCGAAGTTTTATGTTAACGAAGGATTGCATTCTTAGGCCTGTAGTATTTCTTGCTTGACAGGGCAGTCTACACCTATTTTCACTCTAGGTGCGAACAAAGTCAAAGCTAGAAGCGCGAGCCGTGTACGCCTCAACTTGTACGTTTTTGACTTGCACACGAAATCGTGCAATGCATGCGGGCATTGAATTCTGTCTGCACGCTTGTGTTTTAAGCTTCGGCTTTGTTTGCACACAAGGCAAAACGAAGTATAGACCTTTTCAGGCAGCTGTGCATGGACGCGGCTATAACTGACCTTCGCTTTCTGTTTTCATTTTTTCCGTCCAATTCACTTCATTACTGCGGTCCCAAGCCACATTACTGAAAGAACAAGAACGCTGTGACCACAGCGTTCTTGGTTCTGAAGCAGGCCCCTTGTGGGTTTTTCACTGTTTATTTCAGCGTCTGGGCACCTCGGCCGTACAACAGAAGGTCAGTAATGGCGGCGCGAATCTGGCGCGTGCTAAAAAAGACTTTGAACACTGTTAGAAAAAAAGAAAAGGGAGTCGGCTTGGTGATATTGTTAGAGCAGACCGCCCGTATAGCGGGGGCAAACACACAAAAATAATAATATCCAGGAGGAATATTTTCATGCATTGCATGCACTAAAGCCTATCTTAGAGAGGGAGCGATCGAGAAGGCAAGAAAGTAAAAAAGGAGACTAACAAATGCACAGTCCTTGTATGGTGGACAGCACAAAATTCCTACATGATGTCGAAAGGGTCAATTGCTCAGTGCACGGCAGGCGCACGCAGGCGCAGCCCTTCCACGTATGGTACGGCAGCACAAAACGCGTCCCTTATACGCCTTTCCTATGAGTCGCCATAAGGTCTTCAGTGCGACGTCAGCCTTTGCTGCCGCGCCCGCGACCCGCGAGCTGGAAATGATCGAGGGACCCTGACTTCCCCTTTCTCCTCCCCCTCTTACAAATCAAGAGTGGTCTGACTCTGGTCGCCCCACCGGCCGGCATTGCAGCTGCAGCAACCCCTTCCCCCAGACTGCACATTTCTTAGAAACGTTCCCACCCCAAGGTCAACCACATTCGTTCCAACATGAAAAAAAAAAAGCCCCAGGTACTTTGCTTTGCAGTTTCCAGATCCAAATATAGCACATTCTGTTTTACTTCAAAAGAGCAGTTGAACGCACAATCTCAACGCGTAGTCACTCAATATCATCTCACGGGCTCAAGTAATATCACGGAGTCATTCGATATCACCTCACGAACTCAGATCACGGAGACACTCAAATCATCTCACGGACTCAGTCATATCACGCAGTAATTCTATGTCATCTCACGAGCTCAAACTGATATCACGGAGTCATTCGATATCATCTCACGAACCCCCTCATATCACGGAGTCGTTCGATATCATCTCACGAGCTCAAACTCATATCACAGAGTCATTCGATATCATATCACCAACTAAGAGTCATATCACAGAGTCACTCAAATTCACTCAAAATTAGGCAGTGAGTGTGAGTGAGCGTGAGTGAATGAGTTTGTGAGTGAGTTTGCCGAGGTATGACCACAGCACCACGTTGACGTCACGTCGAGGCCGTACGGGTGATGATCAGTGTTGCCATCCCTCTAACACATAGTTCCGGTTTTGTCGCAGACGACCGAAACCAAACTTTGAGCCGTGATATTTATAAGACTACACACAATATCGAAATAAAATTTAAAGAAATTATACATTGTATTTCAGGAACGCTGCTTTAGCTGAAAACAGTCGTAATACCAAAGACAAAACATATTGAACGGAGTCGCCCTTTAAAGCGGGTTCGATCCGTTGGGCCCTCGCTTGAGAACGTCCTTTATTCCATGTTCAGTAATCCCGACGGAACAGAATATTCACTTTGCTACGGCCATGCGGCTCTTGGTTTTCAAAAAGAGGTAACCTCAGTGACACTCGCCATCGCGTACACTTGCAACGTTCTGGGTACCCCGAGCAGCGTCGTATTGCACAAGCGCACACTCTCAGAAAGGGTGTTGTACTTACACCCCTTGTCCCATATGATACACCCCAAAACTTCAATTCGACGTCAGTGCGCTGTGCGTCGAACTGAAGTTTTGGGGTGTATTATATGATACAAAAGGGTGTAAGATTACACCCTTTTGTCCCATATATAAAGGGTGTAAAATTACACCTTCTTTATTTATTTATTTTTTTAAGTGCGCGAGCGGTGCAGTGCCTCCAGCTGCTTGGGAGATTGAAAGCGTTAGGACCCCCAATTCTAAAACTCTCACAATACGTACGCGACAGGCACGAACGGCAACGCTGAAACCAAGACGGTTCTGAAAGACGACTCACGATCCCGTTCTGCAGCGAGGTGCGCCGCCAGGCATAACACCGCGAAGGCAGTAGCCAATACCAGAGTCTTCATGGCTGTTGTCTCCGTCTGCAGTCCAGGACTCCCAATGTACCCGGCAGGCGTAAAGGTGGCGGATTATATAGGGATCTTGATGAACAAAAATAAATAGTGTAGACAGGATGTTTTAGCGGCTGGCTTTCGGAACGGATGTAGGCCTTTCGCTGTTTGCCCTTAAACTCACGGCCGGCAGGTTGTTAGCGCGACCGGGAACAATCTTTGTTCTACAGCTGCGGCTGTGCTACTGTGATTTCGCTCATTAGAACTATCAGGATTTTCGATGAAACGATGCCGAGTGCGTTGGTACGCGACTCAACTGATTGTGTTGCTGTCGTTTCCGTAGTAAACGGTTACAAAAATAGAAAGCTGTTCGCACCCGCACAATATAAGAACATGGATACGAAGACAGGAATTGCTCTCCGTGTGTCGAAACTGACAACAAGGCCTCCGGGTCAATAAGCTCTTTTGAAGCTTGGATAAGCCTCCCTAAAGCGAAATCCTTAAAGGGCAATGTGGGCTATTATAATATCAAAATGTGGGCGGAAGAATAAGGCAAATAAAGTTTGCTTATAGTTTACCCTTTTCATTTTTCTAGAAGAAGCGCCATAGTAGCCCCTCGCTTGCGTCCTACTTGGTGAGAAAGCTGGGAAGGGACGTCTTGTCACCCTGTACGGGCGCAAGCGAGAGAATACTATGGCTTTAAGTTGTCGTTCTTCGTCAATCGAGATAAATAGAAACGAGCTAAACGCGCGACCCTTTCTATCCGGCCTTTTCAATCCGGCAGCAAAAAAAGGTTCCGACAAGGCGGCGCGTGTGGTCGGGACAATGTTGAGACCAACTAACCGGCATTTTTACGGCTCCATTAACCTCTTTCCACTCTAGCAGGACGAACCAAACAGCGGAAAGGAGATCGCTCCCTCTCCGCTACGAATTCAACGATTAGCAAAGGGCACCTGATGGATGTCGCTAAAGCCTCGTCTGTGATGCCGCTCTAGGAACCTTGACAGGTAGTGACGATACTTGTCTCGCCTAGAAGTATACATGCCTTGAAAGTTGGACGTGACATCATCTGACCAGGTTTCTGGCCACAACAAAAGGCAAGGTAAAAGGAGGAAATATCCTTCCACCAGGACTCTCTTTTGTTTGTGCCAGACGTCGCTATTGTCCCTGTGCAAGGTTATACAAGATTAACCCGGCACCCAAAATTCTTACAATAGCAGCTTTGTTTAGTATTTTAGATGAGAAAAGAAACAAATGCAGCTTACAAAGTACGGAAACAAAAAAATGACCCGTCGACACACCAAGCGGTGGAAAAGGCGGCGCAAACTAGAAAAGGGGATCAGGCGCCGACGCGCGCCACGCATTGCTGTGAAGCGGCGGCGGCGCTGCGGTCGTATGAGGATCCGACCGGTTTCCAGCGTTCCGAATGCCTTCGGCGAGCGGCTTTGGCTTGCGGTATGGCCATTTGGCGGTTTGGCAGCGCAAAGTGGCTACCGTTCTGAACGGAGCTTTACCCGTGTTTGCTGTCGTTTATGGCCAATGAAGTGTCATGCCGAATTAGGGTTTTTAGTTGCGCAGTAAATGCAATGCGAGCCGCCCTGGCCACCCGCTTTATCCAGCCCATTCAGCCCATGCTTTAGTGGCGCCCTCTCGAGCCGTCGACACGGAGTGCGGCAGCCGTGAGTGCCGGTTGATCTCACTACCCCTCATCTAGTTTACGGCAAGCCAAGCCAGGACAAGGGAAGTCATGAAGCAGGTTATTTTTTGCTTGTTTTGTCATTTTAATTTCCCTATAGGTTTTAAAATAAAGTTAAATTCGAGAAAAGAAAAATTTCACTAAGTTACTACGCTCACTGCGATCAGGTTCGGTGCAAATTAAAAAACAGTCAAAAATTCGTTAAAAAACCTATTTAACTCAATTTAAAAAAAAACTTTCAGCAATAAGGTGGTGAGCTGGGCCAGTTGGTTATCGTTATATTTATACACGGTGGGAAAACAGCTCAGAAAACGCGGACTACAAATAAGAACAAACAGGACAGTACAATGCTGCATTATCCTGTCGTGTTTGTTCTTCGTAGTCCAGGCATCATGTACAACGTGTTTTTTTTTTTTTTTTTGGTTTGTTTGTTTATTCTTATGACAACCAAATTTGGCATGCGTGAGCTTGCGTATATGTAGAATTTATTATTAAAGTTTAATTAAAATTGATATTTTTTTATATTTATAACTTTAAAGAAGGCTTTTGTTAGCCTTTTGAAAAGGGCGTTTTTGCGATTGTCATTTATTTTAGAGTAAAAGAGTTCTCAAGCATATTAGTTTTGTCGTTCATTGAACTCAGCAGTTAAAAAGGAGGAAATTAGACTATTTTACAAGCTCTTTAAAGGGGTACTCCGGCGATTTCTTCATGGTCCCCGATTTGCCCGAAATTTTGCTAAACTCGCCAAACGACATCGTTAAAATAGTATCCCAAATATTAGGTTAAAATATTTTTATTTCACGAAGTTATTGAATTTACAATTTTGGTCCTCACCGTGTTTTTCAAACTGAAAGTCTCTACTGGCAACAACTAAAAAGTGACGTCAGTGGAAGTGCTGGGGTTCACTCCTCGGACTGTAGAATTTGTTCCCAACTGATTTGAAACAGTTTCATGGTGTCAGATGAATGCTTGGGAAGCTCGCTGCAGTACCCGCGCTCCAGCACGGAACAAATGATTTGCATATTCTATTTTTAGGCAGCTCGCTCGTCTGGCAAGCCTGCCCCCCACTGACGTCACGGCACTGAAAAGTGCGGGTATATTTGAATTTTGGTTTTTGCATCATTTTCATTTGCCGATTTCGCAATAACTATTATGAATTTCGCAATACTAAGTAGCATACCGAAAGGGTAAAGGCCGGGGAGTCAGAGAATATAGTTAGTTGGAGGTAGCACAAAAAATCGTCGGAGTACCTCTTAAAATGTGTTGCCATGCCCCACGTGCACGCCAAAGCTTTTTTTTTTTTTTTCAGATGCCTTACTTTCAGAACATAAAGAAACAAGCTATATCAAAACTTACACCAGATTTACGGAAAGGAGATGAAACACTACAAACGGTGAAAATTTAATTCAGTTAAATCGCATATATATGAAAAAAATTCCCCTGGCGCATATGTCTTTGAATGGGCCTTGCAGCGAGTTTTGTACTTCTTCCCGTGCATAAACTGCTTAGAACTATTCTCTTGACATTCATAACTTGTACAAAACACATTCTTTTTTTCTCCACAAAATGGCAGTCCCAGAAGAAAAATGAAAGCATAAGAAGCGTTGCCCCCCAGGTCGCGAATAGAACAAGCGGCCACGTAGTCTGGTGAGGCTTATATTATATATAGCCAATGTCCATCATAGCCACGCGCTGAGAATGGCAAAGCATAGGGCACGGGCCGAGCTTCAGACATTGTTATTAGAGTTCGTCTATTTCACGGTGGTTTATTCCCATGTTTGACTGAACATGACCACGGTGGTAGAAACATATTTACCTGATGCCACTGGCGTTGCCACTGGCCGCTCTTCACGCGGGGAGCGAGCGAACAGATCGTGTTCGGAGCTAGCCTCGAACCAGGAGTATCTTCCACGCCGCCGCGGAGGGCGCTGAGGTTTGAGGTCCCTCCTCGGCGGCCACGGTGTCGGCGGCATTGCCTGCTCGCCTTTTTCGCGGAGTGATGGTGGTGTGCGGCCAGTGGCTGGCGTCGTATTCTGCTTTGGTGCTGTGACGATCACAGGTGTTACCATCGTGCACGAAGGTGAGCCTTAACCTGAAGAAGAAGAAGGAAGAGAACACAGATTTACGAACTCCGGAGACTTGGTGGCGGCGTGGCGGCGGTGAGGTACAACAAGAAGCGGTGAGCGAGGGAATGCGGGACCACCGCTGGGAAAAACAACCGGAGCGGTCGGTTTGGCAGGGACCCCATACTTGGGCGCCATCTATCCCCGTGCGAGTGAAGCGCGCTCGGTGCGCCGAACATAATGTGGCCGCCGCGTCGGACAGACAGTCATCACCTATAAGTGTGCTTCTTCCACCGTGCACGCGACCCGCTACTCGAATGTTGCCAATGCTACGATTGTCATAAGCCCCAGTCGAGTGCTCGGGCGCACGACAATCGAGTACGTCATGGTATCTCTTCACACACGGTACGAAGTTGTGTTGTCACGTGACGTCACGATGTCAACAACGCTATTGGATGTAGTAACATTGGGTGTAAAGTCGTGGTGCAAAGTGGTGTGATGGCAAAACGCTGTGCGGTGATTTTACGCCGTGAAATAATGTGGCCACATCGTATAATATCTAGTGAAACATGACGTCACATAGGTAATGGTAGTGCTAACATAAACCCACCATAAAATCCCACCATTTCCCAATCATTGTAATTCTGTGTATGACGATTTTCCGATAGATATGCAGTAATACCCGCTGCATATTTTTTGTACTCACAAATATTCAATCCGTAAAATAAAAAAAAATACGCTTAACCGTCTTCAACTGGTTACCGTTACAAAAACATTTCCGGTTCAGTTCCTAGATGGCGGCGACGATGACGGTTCGGTACAGTTCCGGTTCGACTAAAATAACGGTTCGGTTCCGGTATTCGGCTCGGTTCGGTTCGTTTTGGTTGGGTTCGGTTCGGTCCGGTTCCGGTTAGACTATGCTCGGTACTGCGTTTAGGCCTAAAAAAAATATCTATCAGTAAACGTACTTCCTGTTGTAGCGCTGCTCTTACTGACCTGATGTCAACACGACATTCCATCGAAGCTTCACAGACATCGACCAAATAGCTTGTAGTTATCGTTTTATTATGTTTAAAATACCTTTTCTTACGTTTTCTTGGGCAATATTGGTATTGGTGAAGTCCTACTTTGATCTGTTTTATGTTGAAGCAAAGAGACGACATCCGATATTTGCAACTTTTTGCACAGAAGAAAGAACAATCGTTATTTCGTTTTATGGTGTTTTATAATCTTTGAATCTTCATATTTCATGCGTAAAAATAAGTACCGCTTATGATCG